AAATCAACTTTTGCCTCAGGTAGTTATTACAGAACCTTAAACTTTGTATATTTATTTGTTTTTAATATTAATTATTTGAAAAATGATTTATTTGGATTATATTGCTTCTCAAATATCCTCTTATTCTTCAGTAGCACAAACTTTGGCTACTCAGTCATTAAGTGCATCCAATATAAGAAATATCCATATTTTGTGAAATATTTGCTGCAGCAACTCAGGAATCCCTTTTTTGTTTGTTTATTTGTGTGCATGTGTGTTTGTTGTTTGACTCTAATTCAGCAGTAAGAAGAGTCATTAGACTTCCTTAGTTTGGCATAAAGAAAAAAAAAACTGCTGGTTTAACATAGTTAGTGATTATTATTCAAACTTCACTGGTAATCTGTTTTCCACCCTAAGATTTTACAGCTCAAGGTTTTGCTTTGGAATTATGTCAGGAGCAGTATGTGTTTGGGACACAATAGTGTGGCCTAGAGCAGGAATGGCAAATGATGTTTTTTTTATTGAGCCTGCTTTAGTCATTTAGGATTGACTACCTTGCCCAAGCTCAAGAGAAAATGAATGGAAAAATCTCTTACATGTCTGTCACAGTTGTAGGAGGGGGGAAACCAACTTGAATGTATTGCCATTTCTCAAAGACATTTAGAATATGTTATTAATTTATAAAGAAAATCTGTCTTAATTTTTGTTTTAAGCCTCTCATTTTTAAATTGTTTAAAGGAATTTTAAAGTTATCATCCTCATTTTGTAATATACAGTTTTAATTTTGAATTAAAGTATAAAAACAAGTGAAAAAAATCCCTACACTTCTAGGAAAAATGTAAGTCAAGGAAATGTCAGGTCAAGTGTCTGAATCAATCTCTGGCCAGCTTTACCGCTGTTAATAGAGAAGGTGTAAGCCAATTATCATCCTGGTGTAGGCGGCTGATCCATCTGTCAGCCACAGCAGACTGTGCTGCACAAACTTCCCTCGTCCTTCCAAGTTTAGAAAAAGAAAGAAATATCCTTTAGACAGACACAAGGAAACTTTTCACCAACAAAGTTAGAAAGGGTGTTATCTTCTTCTACTACTATTCATATACCCTCTTCTAATCTCAGCTGAATATTGCCACCTTTAAGTGTAATCTTTTCATTTCCCTATTTTCATTCTCCTTGAACATTCCCAACTAATAATGCTAGGTCTTGCTATGAAATGGTGTATTTGTTGCATTGATCAATGCATAATAGGCAGTATAACACACGCAAAGGCAATATAGTCTGTTGCAGGCTCTCAGTTGGAAATCATTAACGCAATTAATGTTAAATCAATTTGAGAAAAACACTATAGTTTTTTATGTATTTTTTAAATTATGGATTTTTTTTCTTTTGGAATAAAACAACTAAATTATGATTGATTCTCTCATTTCCTAAATGTTCTCATTGAACTCATCAATAAACTGTACCTGGAAGCTCTCAAATGATAAATATAAAATGATCTTAGTGAGAAATAAACAACTGTTGCGTATTGTAAACATCCCAGGGGAGTATTTTATTTAGTTTAAAACTGAGGATAATCGTTCATCAAAGCAGGAAGATTAGACACTTTTGTTTGGTAAATTATTTGCTTTGAAAGTACTTCATTTTCAGTGCATATTTCTTATACCTTTAGGCATCAATATAATCAAATTTGGGTTTGAATACTAGGTATGTGACCTAAACTCACTTTCTCAGTTTTAGTTTTTGCCTTTGTCATTGTGTATCTTATAAGATTGTTGTGAGGATCAAAGTGTGCCTGAATATAATATAATGGAATGGATATGACACTTCAGAGCTTGACTGAATAGGCTCTATAATAACATGGGCCTGGCTTTGACTCCATAATTCATCCCTTATCAACTGTGCAGCCTGGGCATGTTACTTAAAGTCTTGAAACTCTTAATTTGTTCATTTGCAATGTGAGGATAATAATGGTACCTACCTAAGGATAGGTACTATTATTAGGATGTTTTGAGATAGTGCATGCAAAATACTTAGCATGGTGCCACATGCACAGAATCTTTCAATCAATGTATACTATTAACACTTTTGTTGTTGAAATAAAAATGTGATAAACATTGTCCTATTTTTTATTAATCTTTTTATTCTTTCATCATTAATCAGCATTGGAAATGCCCACCCTGATTCTAAGATTTCTTTCTTTGCATCATTTTTACACAATGATCTTTCTCAGTTCTACTTTCCTAGTTGTCAGTTTTCAGAATTTTCAGTAACCTCCCCACCTTCTCACCCCCATGTGTCTAACACATATCTAACCTCTTGAAGGCAAAGTTGTGCATTGTCCCAGTGGCCTTGGTAGCATCCTGTATATATTAACTATGTCAAGAATAAGCCTCTGGAAAAATGTGATTTACTCTAAGTCTCATTTTTTTTTCCATAGGTAAAAGAAAAATACTATTAATACTTACTCTGTAGGGTTTTGTACATTTAGACTAAGATAACAATGTTCTTAACACAGTACTTGGTGCCTTGCGTATGTTTGGCAAAAACTACCTAATTTTATTCTTACTGCTTAACAACTCCAGTTTTAGAAAGTTTCTCCTTATATGCCTTCATCGGTTGTCTATCTTTCACATCTGCTTTTTAATTTCATAGTTATAATGTGGAGCACAATTGAGGTTTTTTAAATTTCCCTTTAGATTGGATAGTTCTTCAAAAGGTATTTTCCTAATAAAAATTTTCAAACAGCACCAAACATTTTGCTTTAACTCTGAACAAAATTTATATTAATTTTTAGTAATTATTTTATATCAATCATCTATATTAATTAAAATAGAATTTATTATCCAATAATTTATGACTTTTAAAAAGGTAAACATTCATCTCCCAGTCAAGAATGGATATTCCTCATTCACTATATAATAATCTGGAGGGAACTGCTGATGGGAAATGGTAGCAGATTGGGAGAACTCTGCCTTGAGCAGGAATATTGTTTTCACATGTGTTATCCCTACAGTTCAATACCTTTTCCAGACAGTTATGTTTAGAACCATTGTGTCTAGCAAATATAGCAAAACCAGGGAAGATTTCTTGAAATAAAACACAGCAACTTGCACTAACTGTCATTTTTTCAATTTCCACAAATTTCCTGAAATACCATTGCAACTCTTATCTGCTGGAAATGACAAATAAAACTTAAAAAGAACAGAAAACACAGGAATGTAAGATTACTCAGGAGGATTTGTTTTTCACAACTCCTTTAGAGAACAGCGAGGATGTTCTAATAGTAGCAAATCACCCAAATATCCACTACGTGTTTTCTACGCATTTTTGTACCAAAAGGCCAGGACTAGGGTGAGGCAAGTGAGGCACCCAGAGCAGGGGTCCTCAAACTTTTTAAACAGGGGGCCAGTTCACTGTCCCTCAGACCGTTGGAGGGCCGGACTATAGTTTAAAAAAAACTATGAACAAATTCCTAAGCACACTACACATATCTTATTTTGAAGTAAAAAAACAAACTGGCAAAAACACTCGCATGTGGCCCGCAGACCATAGTTTGAGGATGCCTGACCTAGAGCATAAAATTTAAGGAAGAATAGCCCTCATCTTGTTTCTTGGAGTTATACATGATTATTGTTGATAATCATTAAAAAAAATAAAAAAATTAATTGGTAGACCTGCTATCCTCTCCTTTAGGGGTGATTCATTTCCATAATATCTGTATCTTCCTCAAGCATTAGTTGCACTCATGTTATCTGCGGTAAAAATCCACAGAGCTCCTTTGATAATACTACCTCCCTTCTGGCCCTCCTGCTCCAACTTCACATGTGTTTTACATACTATCAGGGTCTGCTGACTTAGATGTTATACAAAATAACACTATCTAGTAGCAGTAAATATATATGCAACAGTTAATCTATGCTAGCCCCTCTTGAAAACATAGGGCACATTTTGGCATTTGATTTTCTCAACAACCCTATGAGTTAAGCACAATTATGACCCCTTTTTGAGATGAGGATTACATGATAAGCAACTTCCCAAGGTCCTGTGGCCCATGAAGGGCAGATTGGTTCTGGCCTCTGTGCTCTTAAGCATTAAGGTATGTTGTCTTGTAAAAGATAATCTGTTGGGGTTTTCCCCTAAATATTTCGGTTTATCTCTGTATTTTTAGCCGCATGTATATTTTATAATTGAGTTTTGTGGGTGTTGCTGTTGTCTGCTGCTGCCTATTCTTGTTGTTGTTGCTCCTTTTCTTCCATTCCTATGTTTATTCTACCCTCCCTTTAACATTATGACTAAGACTTTTTTTTTTTTAAACTATGTTGAACTGAGTCCCAGTTCGGGACTTCACATTTTGTACTGGAGTGTTTTCCTATGGTTTTTATTGCTTGAAACCTAAAAAAAGGTCAAAAGCAAGCATTTCCCAGAAATCATTCATACATAAAATTCCAGAAAGTGTAGTTTAAAGACATAGTTTGCAAAGATTTGCACTATGAAATCTTTCAATATATCTGTACCAGTGAAACATGCTAAATCATGCATTTTATGGGAAACTTTTCTTTGATTTCATTTATTGGGAAAGTATAAAAAATGTTCTTAGCATTACTTCAGAATCTACAAGTTTTCTTAAATGCAAGAGAAAAGTATTACTAGGGCATTATAACAACTCATAAGACATGTACCCACGTATTTACTCATTCATTCAACCAATATTTATTTATATAAACAGGTAAGAGTTTGAACTTTGGCTTATCATTTATTAGCTGTGTAATCCTGGGCAAGATGTCTAATGATTTAAGTTTCTATAAAAAAGAAATACAAATAGCATCTCTCTTAAATGATTACCTGAGTCATTAAATGAGGAAATGCACAAAACATACATAGTAAATTATTAAAATTCATCTAATTTCTTAAGGCTTTCTCTTCTAATCTACCTAGAACTCTACTGCCACATGAATGAATGATGGCACAAAATCCATCCATCTTGCAGTAGTTTTTTTCTTACTGAATAACAAATAATCTCCAAATTTATCATTCTAAAAACAACCAGCATTTATTATTCACATAGTTTCTGAGGGCCAGATATCTAGGAGAGTTTTGCTGGGCAATTATGGTTCAGCTTCTCTCTCATGTTGCAGTCAAGCCATGAGTGGGGCTGTAGTATCTGGTGGCTTGATTGCAGCTGGAAGATCTGTTTCCAAGCTTACTCATGTGGCTGCTGGCAGGAGACTTCAGTTCTTCATCATGTGTGCCTCTCCACAGAAGTCTCTATGACATGGGTTCCCAAAAATGACTAATGAGAGAGGGATACAAAGAAAGAGAGAGAAAAAGAGAGCAAAATGGAAGCTACAGTAGGTTTGATAACTTAATAGTGGAAGTGGCATACGTCACTTCTGCCATATTTAGTTAGTTACATAAACAAACTATGGTACAAAATGGGAAGGTACTACAAAAGTGTGTGAATGCCAGTAAGTTGCAGCCATTGTGGGGTATTTTGGAAGCTGGTTACCACAATCATCACCCCCTATTAACAAAACTTTACAAAGCTCTCTTGTTTGTGAGTTAAGTTATAATTCTTTACTCTGGTTCTTCACCATTTGACAAAGGTCCTTGACATCACTTCCCCTGCCCTCCCATACTCTACTACCTGGTATTCTTTCCTGTGGCTGTGATTTATATGTTGCACGCTAGTTTCTAAGCAAACTGTCCACACCACAAATTCCATGATTCTGTCCTATCCCCTCTTCCCCAGGAACTTAAACTCTCCCCACTGATTTAAAGTCCAATCTAAATTCCATCCTCTTTGTGAAAACTGTCTGATTCTTACAATGGATGTTTTCTTTCTTTCTTTTTTTTTTCTGAATCCCAAGGGGCATTTCTATAAACTTTTATATGGTAAGTATCTTATGCTGACTAAAATTTTATTCTAGTATTTATATTCTTCTTTACTCTCCATAAATTGATGAGCTAAGATTACGAGACTCATTCTTCTTTGCTTTCCCTTCAGTGCTTATCGGTGTGTGGTAAACATGACATACACATAAGTATGTAGTCTAATTGAATTGAATCACTTAATGCATGCTGGTGTGGAAAGAGTAATAAAGGAAGGACAGTTTCATGACTTTCAATGACAATGAGTTCTAGATCTGTCAATTCCCTTTACTTTTGCCAACAGACAGATAGGTAACAGGCTCATTAGGTTAATTTTAAAGATGTGGATTTGGTTATAATTTTAAATGGACATAAACACATTTTATTGTGGATAACTGTGCTGAAATGTCATTTAATGGTATACAGTTAGGCAGAGAAATGTTCATTGAAGGCAATGAAGAGCAGATAATAGCATTAATTCTCTTCTTTTTATTCTCTACAGCATATTTTCAAAGTATAGATATCAGTAGGACAATCTGACATATAGAAAATTTTTCTTATATTTAGGACAGCTCTATTAGAAGAGTCAAGCTCAAATAAACTGTAAGATAGATTTCAATTTCATAGTTTATTTTTTGAAGGCAAACATAAAAACTAAAACAGGCACAACAGTTGGATATTTTTAATTTTTAATGAGACCATAATGTGGTGGGTGTGCCAGGCTAAGGTGATCAGATATTGCTGTCTCATTTTCCACTTTCTGATTTTAATGCTTTATAATTGTGTAAGCATATAATAGACCATCAAACATCATTTTATACTTATCTCTAGATAAAAACAATAGCAGTAGATAGTATTAGGCAAATGCCTTATTTCACATGTTGCTTTAAGTTTACAGAATTTGGTCTCCAGTTTTAGGCAAAATTTAATAAAGGTAGTATTATAAGGAAATGCAGCTTAGATATTTCAAAATATAATACAAGCCATATTTCTGAAGCCTATACTATTATTGAATCTTAAAAGGAGAAAATAATTCTTATATCTAAAAGAGGTATGTCTTCTTTATTTAATAGTATGTTTATAAGTAGTCTGCATATTGCATTGTAGCATTAAAAAAATCTAGGAATTTCCTTCTCTACCCAACTCAGAGACGTGGCAATTTTTTCAAGCATGTTGTAGATATTACTGTTTCCTACATCTGCTTCCTGAGTCAGACTAAAATAGATGCTTCAGGTTATCCCTGCACCGACAATGAACCTCAGTGAATTGCCATGGTCTGTCTCTATCCTTCCCCTAGTAATGACAGTGCCTGCTCCATCTACACTTTTTGCACATATTATCGCATTTAATTTTGTTTTCATAATTCCAGCATGCACATGTATTATAACTCCCATATCTGAGATAACAAAATTGAGTAGCAAATCAGATTATCACAATTAAAGATAATATTCCATGTGAACAAGGAGAGAGATGCTAACAAAGAACTAATGAAGATACTAATGAAGAAGTGAAGTAAGCAGCTGTTTCCATAACTATATTTAATTTAAATTGGTTTTAGAACTTTTGTGTTGAAGATGAATCATTTATTGGAAATTTAAGAAACAAATGCATATACATTTAACTACTGGATATCTATACACTTCGGGTGACCACATTAAAAGTCTTACTGCATATGAAAATACTGGATATAATAGAATGCAATCAAAATTAATTTTGTCTTCCATCATAGCCCTTTAGCTCAGGTCCGATGGATCCCTTGAAGGAACACCTTACTTCCTAGATTTCATCCCCATATTTGCTCCTGGAAATTCAATTAGTCAAAGTGGGTACTGAGCTGAAGATTACAGAACAGATTTGGCTGGCTCTTAGCAAGTCCTTCTCTTTAATTGGTGTGATAAGCAGATGTCTAAAGTCCCTCAGTGATCTCTGCCTCCTGGTATTCATACCTTTGTGAATCAACTCCTTGTCCCCTTGAATTTGGGCTGGACTTAATGACTTTTTATTTATTTATTTATTTATTTATTTATTTATTTATTTATTTCAGCATATTATGGAGGTACAAATGTTTAGGTTACATATGTTGTACTTGCCCACCTCGCCAAGTCAGAGCTTCAAGCGTGTCCATCCCCTAATGACGTTTTTAAAATCAATACAACATGACAAGAATGAAATCTCTTCTGTGATTAGGGTACAAAAGAGCGTGACTTCATCTTGCTAGCTAACTGTTGTTTTTTTGACTTGACACAAGCTGCCAGTTGGAGAAACATGCATGGTAAGAAATTTTGGACAGCTGCCAGCTTAGAGCCAGCTAGGAATTGAGGCTCTTAGTCCACCAGCCTGCAAGGAATTAAATCCTGCTAATAAGCATTTTAGCTTGGAAGTGAATCCTTTGGGGTCACTATAATGCAGCCATGGCCTCATTGAAGCCTCTGAGAAACCCTAAAGTAGGAGTTCCATCCAATATATTTCCAGATTCCTGATTGAAAGAAATTGTAAGATCATGAATGTTTTGTTATATAACTCTAAGTTCTGTAGTAATTTTTTAAAACAGCAATATGTAACTAATAGTGATGGTTATTAGTTACATGTGTTAGATGTATGTGTATGAGACTCTGTATGTGTATGTGTCTGTGTATATACATTGTAAAGGGAGAATTCTATTTCTTCCTCTGTCTTTAGTAGGCTTCGCAGACCTAAGAAAAATGCTTTTTGATTACAGGAAGGGTTCTGCCACCATACTACATAAAATCGTATGAAGTAAACACTAAGAATAAAAATAATTTAGTATAATTAAGCCCCCTGGCCAACAGTTGGGAGTGTATCTCTCAAATATTTTTCTGAAATAATTAAGAGGTCACAGGCTGAATAGGAGAATTATATACACACACTTTGGCAAGAAATACAACACTTTTAGATGATGCAAATATGATACTAAATTCTATCTTTAGACAACCCAATCCATTTCAGAGTCCTAAATGTAAGAAGGACGACTGGCCATCATAGCCTTTCATGGCCAAAGGGCTTTATGTTGGTGATCCTGAGTAAGCTCTGAAATGCTCTGATTAAGATTGAAGAGCTCATTTGGGAGCACTTGACTATGTCACTAAGAATAAATAAAATGCAAAACACTGGTTTGTGGCCTAGTAATTTGCAAGATGCTTCAAAGAGCAAAGCTAAGACATTGTAGCTTACTGTACATCAGGGTTTCTTGAGGCAGAAAGTTAGATTTAATAGATCTGCATTTATCAAAAGGACAAACAAAAGGAAAAAGTTGCACAGTCCTGGAATCTCTCTCTATACATATATTTTTCTAATTACTTGTTATCATGATAATATTGACATAATTTTGTCAGTAGGACATATTCTTCTTCTTTCCTTAGAAGAAAAATAATACAGTTAAGTTATTAGCCATGCAATATACTCTGGATACCCAAGTAGTCTAAAATAAAAAGTAACAAAATGCCATGAAAGTATATCTAAATAATATAAGATAAAAATTTTAAATAAGGAGGAATGTCCACTGTTCTAATATTTGGATTGGAACTCCAAGAAAATCTAAATACAGAGGGAAAAATATTTTCAGTAGTTTGTAACTATAAATTCTAGAAGAAATTTTCCATGTAAGTTTCTTGCTACAAATAAACTCACAGGATCCTAGCATTCAATATAGGAAGGATTTTTATACTAAACCATTTAGGCAAATTTATTTATCTATTTATTTTTATTTTCTATTTTAGAGTATCACAGGTGTACAAACACTTGGTTACATAAATTGCTTTTGCACAGCTAGAGTCAGAGCTACACGTATGTCCATCCCCCAGAAAGTGTGCACCATATCCATTAGGTATGAATTACCCACGCTTTTCTCCTCCCTCCCACCTGCTCAACACCCAATGACTCTAACTTCCATATTTGCACATAAGTGTTGATCAATTAGTACCAATTTAATGGTGAGTATATGTGGTGTTTGTTTTTCCATTCTTGATACCTGACTTAGTAGAATGGGCTCCAGCATCATCCAGGATAATGCAAAAGATGTTAGTCTACTATTTTTTATGGCTGAGTAGTGTTCCATAGTATATATACATATACCACATTTTATTTTGTCACTCACAGACTGATGGGTACTTGAGTTGTTTCCACATCTTTGCTATTGTGAATTGTGCTGCTATAAGCATTCGAGTGCAGATGTCTTTTTTATAAAATGTCTATTTTTTCCTTTGGGTGAATACCCAATAGTGGAATTGCTGGATCAAATGGTAGGTCTACTTTTAATTCTTTGAGGTATTTCCACACTAATTTCCATAGAGGTTGTACTAGTTTGCAGTCCCACCAACAGTGTATAAGTGTTCCTATCTCTCCACATCCATGCCAACATTTGTTGTTTAAATTATAGTCGCTGAAAGTATATTTAAAATTTTT